CTAACTGGTTCAGGAAAATATTTCTTTGGAGAAAAATGGAAAAAAATGTTTATTTAACAAGCAAAGTATACACAAGCATTAAAAAATGAATAATATTAAACAATAAAACCTCTCGCTGTTTGAAGAGATGGTAAATGCAGAAAGTCCTTGTCGTGGGTGTAGCTTGGCCCACTGTCTCTTGTCAGTCCCTCTGGCACTGGAATATGCCACATCCCAGCCCCTGGTGGGCCACAGGTGTGAGCTCCTGGGGTTTGTCTGGGTTTTCAGTCCAGAGCAGGTCTGCACAGATCCAAGAAAAAGAAAAGCCACACTCTGGGGATCTTCTCTACCTCAGCTGGCTAAAAACAAACTAACAGCAAAGGAGAGCTCTGTCCCACTGTCTGTCCGTGCTGCAGACAGCACAGCCCAGGAGCAGAAGGCAGAGGAGTGAGTGCTGTTTCTGAAAATAAACTGCAGCTTCTTCCTTCCCCCCTTCGCTCTTGGAACCAGTCTTAAATGTGCGGAACTTAACATCCAGCATAAACAGAACAGACAACTGGGGATACAAGTATCATTAAGTCACCCTAGGACATAAGCCTTGAAACCAAAGTTATTTTCATTTATTTATCTGAAAGTTATTTTTTATTTATTTATCAGAAGTGCCTCTGCAGGACATGTAAGTGGATTATTGATTTGCTTTTTGAAAAAACTACTAAGTTTGTGGTAGACTGTACTATTTCTGTCTGTTGCATTCCAGGACTCAGAGGAGAAATGTGTCCTAGGGGTGTGTGTAATAAGGAGAAGATTTAATAAAAGCAGAGTCTTTTTGCCAAGTACATGCCAGTGGGAGAGGTGGTACTTTGCAGGGCATGAGGGCTGATCAATGAAAAAATGAGGTTGGGCTGGGAGAGGACAATGTAGAGTTTCTCCAACTCAATATGGACTAAGATTCAGAGGACACTTAGTTTCCTAAAGATAAACAGAAATAGCGGATTTTCAAAAATACCAACAAAGTGCATCTCTTCTTTAGACAAAAGTGACAGTAGCTCATCAACAATGTGGTATTGATTATCCTGGGATCAATGCCCCAATTCTGACTAAGCCTAGTTAGTTTCCCATCCTTTAATGTTATCCAGAAATACCTGAATGCATGCAGAATATTAAGTCATAATTATTAGATCATCTTTCAGCTCTGACATTTGGCAATCTGTATTAATCACATCTAGCAGAGGGAGCAATTCTGTCAGAAGATTCTTTCCTGTTGATGCCCCTAGCCCATCCACTACGTTACATTTACACAGAATAGGTGGAACACAAATAAAAGCTGTGTTTTTAACATAAGAAAATGCTGTGTTTGCATGCTGTTTATTAAGTTTTAAAGCAGTGTGTGGATATCAAAATATGTGGTTTTTCTTTCACAGGCAGCTTTGAGCATCTTTTGGCATGAAAGACTCATTTTCAGAAGTCAAGTTTAAGTTTCATTTTGGAAAAAGAGAGAGGGAGAAAACTTAATTGCATACACACTGCAACTTATGCACCACCCCCTTTTTTGGGGGGTTTAGAAACTGTCAGGTGGGAGTCACCATGCCTGTATCCTGCACAAAAATATGAATAATGTAAACAATAGCCCCATATTGATGATGGTTGTAGACTGAGATTTTGATCTTGCTTTTTTCCAAATTGTGGCATTATATATGAAATTTGTAACTTCCCACCTATTTACTGACAAATGAAAAGCTGTGCAGTTTGTTTTTTTTTCTGGTTGTGGCACAAAAGTGAATCTAGGCTGCAATACTCACTACATGCTTTCTGAGGGAAACAAGTTGCCCAAGAATAAGTATTGAGAAACAGTTCTTCATAGCAGAAGTTGAGAAAGATACATGCTCATTTCTTTATTTTATTCTCATGGTTACCCTTCTGGATTTGTATCTCACTGTGGGCTGGACTTTACAGGTTTCTTAGATACTCAGAAATGTAGCTAGAAATGTGCCTGTCTCACACTGTGAAATAAAATTCATAAGGAAAGAACTTTAAAATGTGAAATAGGTCTTACTTTCCTATTTTTTCAGCTCCTAACTTTTTGTCAAATTTGACTTGAAATTTGAACATTCTTTTTTTGTTTTTCTACCTATAAGAACCATTATATGAAAAAAGAGGTTATGTGAGTAACTTATCTGTAATTTCTGAGAATAGAAGTGTGGTTTCAGCTGGAAGAAAAGTGTGTTGAATTCCCTTCAGTCTTGCTTAGAAACACAGAAGGTGCCAGCTGGAAGCTACTCTTGCTGGAGAAGGCCACACAGCCTATATGCCTTTCATGTCCAGGAAATCTCAATAGCTTTAGCTCCAGTGAGCTATTCTCTGACTCTGTCAGTACCTCCAGCAAGCTGTACTCTGACTCTTTCAGTACATCTCCCTTTTGCTGTTCCATGTATCTGTGTGTTACCAATAAAGACAGAAACAAGTGCTGCTGTGGTCCACATTCCCTACCTTGAGGAAGAAACAGCCACAACCAATCAATTCCTCTTTTTAGCACCTGGCTGCTTCTCTTCCAGCATGGCAAGACGTAGTCTCTGGAGCTTCACTGTCAGTTAAGATGCCATGGGGCTCTGCATAAAGCTTTAATTGTCATTGACTGTGAGATGTGGCTGGGAGGGCTTCCTCCAGCAGCATGTGAGCATTTGCTCTCCAGCCTCCTGCCTGACTCGTGTAAACTTCTGTCTGACGTGTCTGTCATTTTACACCCAGCTCTTGGTCATCTAGATCAAGTTAGCCTTGCTGCCTTGTGTAGAAATTGCCCACACTGACCAAACTCCTGACTGGTCAGAAAAAATCACCTTGCTTGATGACGAGGCAGATGCTCTAGTGCAGCAAACTATTTTAAGAACTACTGAAAATACGGAATTTAGATGAAGTATATTCTAAATTTTTTACTGTCTCATTGGATGAGTGAAAAAAGAAGAGAATCTAGAAAGAGAGAGCTATGCAGTGTGCTTAAGATTTACTTCAACAAAGCTGTAAATGCAAACTCATGATAGAATCCTGAAATCATATGGATTCCCATTCAGCTCTTCAAACACCCCCAAGAACTGTATATTCTTTGCAGAAATAACTACTGTTCATTTCCCAGTATAAAATATTTTCCTAAACATGTCTGGTCTTATTTCTATATCTCTCATCATCTTGTGTTCAGGGCAGAGTCAGTGTTGGTTATTTATTATCCAGTCTTTTGCTCTAAGCCTTCTAATAAACTGGAACAAGAGGAAAAAAAATACCACTTCTTCACAAGTCAAGTCTTTGGAAATGTTGATAGTATGCCCTCAACAAGAGGTGTATTTGTGCTGAGAAAAAATTTGAAGTTTATATAATGCTCCCAAGTTGTAAATGCAATCTCTTCTGGCAACTGATTTTCTCAATTCTGCCCTACTTTTTGTAGAGTCTGCTTTCTGATGTCCCACCACTGCGCCATGTCGCAGGTTAAGTTGAAGAGTATTCCACACACAGTTTCTTGTTTGCCTTTGTAGAAACAGCAAGTTTGTGAGACGTTTCTTTGCAGTCAAATCCTTCACTTCAGGAAGAGAAACCTTTAATAAATATAGTGAAATACTTTGGGAATAACCATAGTACTTGGAATGAATAACCATTAGAAAACACAATTGCATGCCAAAAAAATACCTGAAATATTGCAAAAAGTATGTTAATCAAATCTGCTCCAAGCCCAGTGGCCACAGTTCTCATGTCTCTTCTCTCTGGAGTCTGGATGAGTGTGATTATAGTCCAGTCTAATCCCTGTCATTGTCTCTGGGTAATAAAGTAAAATCCCTGTCCTGAGCATCTGCATAGCTGTAGCCATCCAGCTGAGTTTACAATCTAAAAGCCTCAAACCAAACCTGCCCTGAAACCCTCCTACAGCACACAGTGGAGGTTTGCAGGGAATGAAGCCAGGCATGCAAGACCTGCGGGTGTGGAAGTTTGCTGAGCCCATAAAGCCTTTGTTGCTCAAACTACACTTTGTAATAAAGTTACAGTTATAGCACAGTATACATGCAGACTTGCTTTTTTTGATTCCTAAACAAAATAATTTGCAAGTTGAAATATTGTTTAGCTGTCTAGTGCTCTGATTGTAGATAAGGTAGCCTTGAAGGAATAAAGTTTAATAATATCAGGGAGAGCCTTTACCAACATTGCATCTCAGATGCACCCAAGAAACATTTGCCATCCTCAAGAATGCAAAGGTGATTCTCCAGTTGTGGTACCTTGTACCCATTTTAGATCAGAGCAAACTGGAAATGATCTTAAGTTACTCAAGTTTATATCCTCCTGCTCTCAAACCCCCAGTGGAGTTAATTGAAAAAAACTGTAGTTGCTTGCTTTGTGTGTGTGAATCTGTTAACCCCCAAAATCAGTGGCTGAGCATTCACAGGTCCACAAGTCTCCACACAATTCTAAACAGAGGTTCTGTTCAAACTCTTGAACTTACGTGCTGGTACTTAATTCATGTTTTTGAGAATATCAGACAGATTCAGAAGCAGAGATAGAGGAGTTTATTGAATTATTTTTCCTTGATCCATGTTTCTCATTGTGGTTTATATTGTTATTCTAAAGGACGTTTATGTTCACACTGGGGTTTTATGTTTAGAAACATTGAGTTTGTTCAAATTCATTCAATTACGTGCTGCTAATAGAAGAGACTTTCTAACATTTATTCTATCAGCAGAGGAGGAAGTGAAGCAGAAAAAACACCCTTTTTTAAAAATGAACATTTCCTTGAGCAGCATTTGTTCTGCTTGCTTCTGCAGAAGCAGCATATGACATTACCTGTGTAATTGTCACTATTTTATTTCTCTCTAAGTAATTCTTTGTAATATAGTTTACGTATGTACTGTCAAATAGCTTAAAAATGGCTTAAGGTGGTTGTTTTACATTCATAATTACATTAACAATTACATAGAAACAGAACATTACAAATCAGGGGAAATTTTTGGAATTGCATTAACTAAATCTATGCTTTTGTTTTCCTGAAGTTTCAGACCCAGAGCTTACGTCTCTCAGACCTGCACAGAAAATCTCAGTTATGGAGAGGGATTGTTAGTGTTACCCTAATAGAAGGTCGTGAACTTAAGGCAATGGATGCAAATGGGCTCAGTGATCCTTACGTGAAGTTTCGTTTGGGGCATCAGAAGTACAAGAGCAAGGTAAATTTAGCTGTGACTGAATTTATTATTTTTTTTTTTTAATGCTTTGTTCCTCTTTGGTGTTTTTTTAACTTGTATGACTTTCGATACTGATGGAAATTTATTGTTGTAATAATTACCTGTCAGAGCACCTGGAACTTTGTTTTTTTTTGTTTCGTTATAAACAAAAGTGGTACTAGATTGGAAGAAATGTAGCACTGAAAAATGTGGGTTTGCAGGGGGACACACCTAATGTTCCATACAGACTGTGTTGGCTTTTATTTACTGTTTGGGGTCATTAATGGCAGAGAAGAGATGCAGAATGGGTCTGACAAGATCCTACTGGCGTGATGCTGAGTGCCTCTTTGACCCTTTGCATTGTCTTATCCTCAAAGCATGTCATGCTTGTAAGCTCACTTTTCATGTCCTCATTAACAAGTTTCATTAAAGTTTTCTTCATATATAAGCTTCACAGGTAGAGAGAATTGATCTGGGAGATAATTGTTGTGAAGACTTGCTTGGCTTTGTTACTTTTATTTTTTTCTCTTGGTCCCTACCATTTTGAAAATTGCTGTTCAGGGAAGATACTGGGACTGCTGATGATGTACATGACCTTCCTCTCTTGATGTCCATGACAGTCAATGTGCTTTTCATGGGCAAATGAAGGGTAAATTGAAGAGGAGGGCAGGAACATTTGCTTGTCATATTTTTAGACCTCTGAAGCTGCACTAGGGCCTCTTAATCTGAAATTAGAAGAAATCAAATTTCATGCTTTCATGAATTAAAAACTTTCATTGTCCTTTCTGAATTTTCTTTTTTTTCAAGCCAGGAAGACTGGTGGTTGTAGAGCTTAATGTTTGCTAAGTAGGGCATATATTAGGGGTCTTCTGTTCATGTTCAGGACAGTGAATACTGCTTTTGCATTATGTAGAATTCTGCAAGCTCTCTGTTCTTCACAGTGTGGTAAGAAATGTATGGACTGAAATCTATTGAATGAAGAAGTAACTAGACTAAAAGTGATTTAAAAAGCTACTTTCATCAGAGTTTCAAAGGAAAGAAAGTGAAATACAGTTTTGGAAGTGAACTAATTTTATTCCATAGAAAGTAAACTGTAGTATCATATTTCTCCCAGTATTATTACAGCTGGGAAAAAAAGACATGATACAATTGTTTGTTTATGTACTTATAGTCACCATCTATGTGTCATTGCAGGTGCTTTGTTTCTTTTTGGACTTAGAAACATAACTTTTTAGCTAACTGTCATTTCACAGAGGACATAATTTTTCTACAGAGGAATGGCTCCATTCCCAGGACATTTTTTTTGTTCAGGAGGCTTTTGAAGGTGACAGGATTTTGGAGGTTGTTGTTACATCAGAAAGGCATGAGAGAGCTGGCTAGTAGTCTTTCATAATCACTATTTTTTAATTCTCACTGCTTGAGATATTGATGCTGCAGACAGTAAAAGCTTCCTGAACAGACTCTAATGAGCAAATTTACAATTTAAGAAAGTGTCGCAATGTAATGCGACTTCCTTTTTGTTCTCCTTTTAGATTGTTCCAAAAACTTTGAATCCTCAGTGGAGGGAGCAGTTTGACTTTCATCTCTATGAAGAACGAGGTGGAATTATTGATATTACCGTGTGGGACAAAGATGTTGGCAAAAAGGATGATTTCATTGGCAGGTTTGTCTAATTCTAGCCTTCTTGGTCTGTGGGGAGAGAGAAGTCTGTGAGAGGATGATTAAAATGAGCCTTGCCTTTGAAACTGTTTCTTACGACCATTTGTTCTTGGTTTCTTGTTTGGGTTTTTTCTTAAGTCTGGGGAGGATTTTCTGCAATGTTCAAATGCATTGGTGTAATTCTTTACATTGATGATGTAATATAATTTTTATTGACCAGTAGGTGGCAGCTTTTACCAATTGATAGACTCAGGTTTTTAAAACAAAAATCCCCTGTTTAGAGCAATCTCTAAGATGCAGGAGGTTCCATACAGAAACATCCAGCTTGGAGTAGACACAACTCTTGACTTGCTGCTTGAGACCAAATTTATGCACCAGCCTTTTTGGTAAACTACACACATATTTTGGGATAAAGGATCATTCACCTAATTCATATTCAGGGAGAGGGAATCTGTCTGGGAATTCAAGAAGAAGCTTATATTTGTATGGCTATGCTCCATTTTACAAAATAGGAAGTGGCATTAACTGTTAGCTAAAAGGGAAAAAAATGTCTTGTGCTTATAGCTACTACAAAGTAAGTGTTGTTTGGAAAGCTCAGATATTTGTTTACTTCATGTTTTCCTTGATATCCATGCATTCATAATAATAGTATTAATAATTAGTAATTACTAATTCTATATATTTTTATTATTTTTATTGAAGGTGCTTTCACCATCACTTTCACATGTTATCATATGATAACTATCAATATTTTGAGGTAATGTACTAATTTAGTCCTAATTCAACATGTTATATACCTTGGGAAAGTATTTCAGGTTTTTTTTTTTCATTCCAAGCTTCTTATGAAAATCTGGTGAGATTTAAAGTTTTCATGAGTGATTTTTCAGAGCATTGTCATCCAAGCACCACTTGCTGAAATCTTGCTGTTCTTGATTTTTTTGACCCCTCTGTTGGTGTACATATAATCCCTCTTCAGTTTGTCCTTGCAGACACTGTCTCATTTCACCTTCTGTTGGTACCTTATCTCTGGTAATGTAACCTGCAAAAAAATTCTTCTCCAAGGAGATTTACATGTAAAACTGTCATTTGTCAAGCTCAATCTGAATACGAAAATAGGTCTTAATATTCCCCCTCCCTGATATTCTTTTCCAGTCACTGCAGATAAAAATCACCAACACCTGACAGCTCCACTTAATGCTGACCTCTCTTCCCCAGTTTCTCCTTTCAAGGCTGTCCCTAAAAGCTGGAAATATTTTGTTGCATACACTACAGACTTGCTCTGTGTGTGTGTTATGGCAAGTGTGTGTTAGTTTTTAAAAGCACAACTGAGTTGTGCTCCTTGATTAAAGTCTATGGCTTTCAAGATACACATAAAAAGTTTAATGTTTTGATTCAGGTTCCAGAAGAAGTGATGATGAGGTTGTGGGAGGGAAACAAAAGACTTCCTGGTAGCATTCTATCATTGCTCAAGAATGGAGTGTAATCCATTTCATCTTGCTGCGATCTTCCTGCTTGCTTGAATAATGTGCAAACAGCAGCTGTAATGTTATGTAAGAATATTTCTATTAAATGTAAATTAAAACAACCATTTCTTGAAGATGTCCTCCCTGGCCAGAATGTGCCTAGGGACAAGGCACACTAGATTGAAGAACTGACCAAACTGAGAAAAGGTTCCCCAGGTGGAAGGTAGAAGGGAAAAATTCCAAGATCTTCCTGAAAAATAGCACAGAAAACCTGTGTTTTTAATTTGCTAAGCTCAGTTACTTGCAAATTCTATTCCAAATCAGAATGCTTCAAACTCTTCCGGAATAATACCATGTTTCAGCTGCACTTTTGTGAAATTAAAGAAGTGGGAAATCAAGAACATAGGCTTCTATGGGCCTTGTATATATTATTGTCCTTGTTAGGCTGGAGCATGGTAAGGACAGATGAAAGTTGGGAATGTGACATGGTAGCAATGGTGTGTGCTTGCAACGCCTTGCAATCCATTTCTGAGGTCAGGAAAATACAGGAAAGATGTTTGAGAGGGTTGAGAACATGGAAGTGAGATTCTGTTTTTTGGATGGTGAAGATGAAAGTGGAAGGGGTGGCTTGTAAGATCCCCCTGTAAGAGGGAAGGAAGGTCTTCCTTGTGAGAGGGAGGAAGGTGTTAAGAGTCGGAGTGACAGCATGGCATCCTAGTTCAGAAAAGTGAAAGGAGATGTCTGTCACAGAAGTAGCATACAGCTCTGTCTTCATCTTGATGCCCAGGCATGTTCAGTATGGCAGTGTCTGAAATGAACTACTGTCTGGTTGATTTCCATTCTTAACTTGGAACATTTTGTGTTTATAAAATACAATTGAATTTCAATTGTGTGCATTCTCCATGAGAGTTTAAAGGTTGTAGCACCTTGTGAACTTCCATCTCAGAATATTCTAAAAACCCCAAATCCTAGAACCAATTCTGTGTTTATTTCAGTATTTCAAAAGCCTAGGAAAAGACCTCATACAAGAGCTTTGAGGAAAATATATTTCCAATCATGTGCTGATTTGTATGAGAAAACACTATTCTTGATTAGAACTGAGCTGCATTTTATAGTAGATAAATTCTGCCATCCTTCTGAATATAGCTTTTTTTAAAAAAAGCAATTAACATTTCAGGACCAAAAAATGAGGTCTAGAAATTCTTTTTACTGAAAGCATCCAGAGCTAAAGCCACATGGGCCACCTTCAGCATTTAAAGAAATGTATAGACTTGCATAAGTGGCATTAGTTATTGCTTCATCTGATAAGTAGAAATATCTATGTGTATATATTTTTCAGTGTGAATGTATTTAATATTCACATGTTTTTGCTGTCAGCAAATAATTTATGTTCTATATTGAGTCAATATGCTCCTGTGATTAAAAATGTACTGCAGTAAGTTTTTGTAGGTAATTACTAAGACCAAAATGAAGGTGATTTTAATCGTCATGTAATTATTTAGCTTTCTTATCATTTATGTTTTTGAAGGCAATTCTGACTGTCACCTTTACGATAATCAGTTAATAAATCCTCATGAATGTTACACCTTTATGCATAGCACTAATCTGAACAAATGGGCTGCTGACAGCTGCAATAAATTGCTAAGAATGAGTGCTGTCAGAGAACAAGTTGTTTCTGTGAACATAGAGAATAAGTAAATCCCATGTCATGCAATTTTATTCAGCTGAAGTTATTTGCAATCCAGTGCAGTGGGATTTATAGCATTATTAATTGGTATGAAAAATCACATTTATCTTTAAAATGACATTGACTTTTGCTTTTATTTTGTGTCAGGAAATTACTGCTGACTTCATCTATATCTATTTTCATAAGTATTTATAGATGCTATTGTCTTTTTTCCCATTTGATGCAAATTAAGAAAAAAAGACCTTGTATGTAGCGAATTTGTTGAGGCTATGTATTACTTTTGTCTATAGGAAGGTCTAATTTCCCATATTCTCTCTAAATATTGACACAAATATTCAGATTGATTTTGTGAGAATTCATATAATGGATGCTGTGAAATATAAAAGTTAAAATACTGAAAATTATTTATTTAAATTTATAATACCTAATATGTTATCCCTCTTCTGCTTAGGTTTTTTTTTTTGTGGTAAAAAAACCATAGAATGGGTTTAGGGTGTACATAAATACAAATTATATGTGACTATGATTCTCTGATTAATCTGAAAGCACTGGAATATGTAATCCAATTTCTAAAGTAAAGTGAGATTTTATGTTAAAAATACTAAATTATAAAGTACTTATGGTTCAGGTTTTTTCCCCCCACTGACATTTATGTAATTTTGCTGTGGGGGTCTGAGCATTATCATAGAGAACTGAGATGTATATGAATACGCCAACATGCATGTGAAGCTGGGTGAATAACACTAAATATGCTACTGCAAGTGTTTCTTCCCAGATCTTTTTCTAGAGGTGTTGTGGGGACTGTGATCTATATTAAAATATTCGCAATTTTCTGTTTCCAGAGAAGGTTTTGAATAGTATTTGTGAAGTCCATGTTAATGTTAAATTGCCAAGTCATGAAGTTTTCTCAATTTTGCAAAACTCTGTAAACAAGTTGGCTTCCTCTGGAAATGTAACTAGTACTTTATTATGCTGGTCTTCAAAAATATTTTTTGCATTGCAGTTTGAAAATTTCTGCATGTGGAATTTTGGAAAAATGTATTATATTAATAATGTAAGCATAATGATCAACATGTTGTAATTTTGACTTGATGTGTGTGCACGTGAGTTACAGCAATGCTATTCAAACGCAGAAGAGCACACAACCAGTAGTCTGTGTGTATAATCATTTGTTGATTATACATGACAACTAAAGTTAAATTAATTGCAGATGCATTACTTGATGTAAATTAAGATTATGCCTGAAGCATTAAAATCTAAAAGTGCTACTGCCAGGTCTGGCTTTGAAAAATCCTGTGATGTGCTGAGCCGTCTCCATTTCTGATCGTTGTCAAAAGGAGACAGATGTAATACTGCATCTCAAAATTTGGCCTTTAGGTATTCCATACCTTATTTATTCCTATCTCAGCACATCTTTACTATACTGATGCAGAGGCAGTTCTGTTCTGCTCGAAAGCCAAAAGAGTTTCAGTTTTTATTCGCAAATCTTTGGTAACTTTCTCTTACCAGATACTTTATCATTTACAGCTCTTACTGACAGTTGTTATTGTTGTGTTCTGACATGAAATTGATAGCATTCTCCAAAGTATGCTGAGATACAGAATGCTGCCTGCAAGCTGTGCTGTTTACGAATCCTTCTTCTGACTCTGTCTTCTCACATATGGAAGTCTACTTCTTGAAGAGTGGCAAAATAAAAGGAAGGGAGAAAGAAATCAAATGGCCAGTTTAGACATGAGGACCATGACAGTGTGTAGAAAATGGTGAAGAGTGCAAATACGGTTTTGTGATGATTTATGAAAGGCACAGATTGTAGTGAAAACTCTTGCAAAATTTCTTGGGCTAACTAGTGAGGAG